AAAACCTCTGCAAATAAATAAATAAATAAATAAAATTAGTACCTTTTCTCCAACATGGCCCAAACTCATTTGCATACTTTTCCCCTGCGCATTTTCAAAACTTACTGTTCTTGATGTCATTCCTTACTCGTGCTCTTAGAGGACTTTTACAACAAGTGTTAGAAGTCTATTTGTGCTACAGTCTGTTGAATACCTTATGAATGATTCTTACAACTGTATTAACAAATATCACTGAAGTTTTCAAATAATATTCTTTATCAAAAATAACTTTCCTAAATTTAATATGGATATAAAAAGAAAACAGGAAATATAGCAATAGTTTCTTTTTTTTTTCTTTTGAGGTAGAAAATTTTTCTTTGATGGTAAGGGCCTGGTTAGATTCAGGAAGAGGAAGCACTTTCTAGAATTTTGCTCAAATAATGCTTTTTAAAGGTGCAGAGTTAATACTGGGCCTATGCACATCTGACTTGTGTAGAGAAGAGCAAACCACTGGGGTTTTATTGGCCAAAATTTGTTAATTGGTAAATTCATACGTTTCTATTTTGAAGACGAGGGTAAAATATGATAAAGTTCTATATGATATGTTTTGCTATCAACTCTCTCTCCCCCAAATAAAACTTTGCCTGCAAATTCCCTGTCAATCAGTCAGTGAATATTAGCTCAATTGATCTTATGCTGGAATGACAATTCTTACTTGCCAATATTTAGAACTCAGTAGTTACAGAAATGTTTCCTTATAGCTGACTACAAATGCCTTAATGTTTTCAGAAATGATGAAGATAAAGCTATTTTTTAAATCTCAATGTAACACTTGATGGTGACAGATTAAAATTCAAAAAGGCATATTCATAATGAAATCATGAGTTTGAGGAACTTTTAGAAAATAATGTCATACAATTAACTCTTCGTTACAAAATGCAAGTGTACCTCATTTGATGACCCTATCAAATATAGTTATACATAATTTAGACTTTCAAAACTTAAAAAACTTAAAATATAAAATTTTTAAATGGCCTAGGTATGTGATAGAAATGAAATCATGTTTCTTGCAATCTAACTGTTAAATACAATTTAAAATAATTGACTAAACAAGATTAGTCTTTAAGATGAATAGAACCAATTTCAGCTTTAGCTGTTATCTGACGGTAGTATGCTATACACTAAAATCGGCCGGCACATAGCCAAAACAAACCTTTGAAGACCAACATGATAATTACAAATTGCTGTTTGTCACATTTTTATTAGAAAACATGTTGCAGGGGGACCAGCAATTAGCGTAATGGCTATGTCGCTGGACTCCCATGTAGTCGACTGCAGTTCGCGTCCCGGACCCGGTGGCTTAAAACTCATGCTGGGTGCGTGTGCGAGTGTGCCCAAGATCCCAAGAGGAGAATGGAGGAGAAGGGATCGCGGCGTAGCCATCCCCCCTGGGGGGTGATTTCTCGCTTTCTGTCTCTCTGTCTCTCTCTATCTGGTGAGCACACGCGCCCAAAAGCAAAATAAAACCTCTCCAAAAAAAGGAAAAAAAAGAAAAAAGAAAAGAAAACATGTTGCAGGAACACAATGTGAAAATGTCTAGAAACATGAATTTACATAATTTTCTAAAATTTGCTTTCTAATTCCAAATTTTAAATATCTGGACATTTTAATCTTCTCGATCTGTGCTACTTTATGCATAAAAATTCATACAATACTTATTTGAACTTTTGCTTTCAACATAATTTCTTAGAGACAAGAAATATTTTTTTTACTTAATAAAATACATATTACTGAAGTTTCTAATGCATTATGAGTTTGATTAGAGCATTGTGGATTTTTTTTTCCATAAAAAGGCTATAAAAATTAGGCTTATTTTTAAAAAATGAGGATATCACCTTCTATAGAAAAAAAGTGGGAAACTGCTATAACCAAAACTATGTCTATATCAAGAGTAAAACCAAAAGATATTCTCTCCCTCACTTAGGAACTCTAATTGTATAGAAATAGAATGTGACTAGTGATTACCAATAACCTTTCAGGTCTATTTAGGAAAATTAAAAGAAATCATGCTATTATAAACTTTATTTCAATTATACGATCTCTTTCTAATTCATGATGTTTATTTTTTTTTTTTTTATGGCTTCAGTGTGAAAAACAATTCCGTAAGTTTCTTAAATTATACTCAGCCATAAATCATGCATTTGGCATTCGTTTTAACTAGCCTGATTTTATAGCAAATTTCTATTAGAGATATAAACTATGCTGATAGTCCCCTGAAGATGTTATAACAGCTGTAGATAGAAAAAGAGTATTTCCTATATACTACAACTTCAAGTCACTTTGATTAAAATGTACACGTTGTAAATTTTCCCTCAGATAATTCTGTTCCATTAGGACCTTTAGAGCTTTTATGAGATTGTTGTTCCTGAAGCCATATCTTTATATCAGAGAAACTAAAACCTCATTGTTGTTTTTTTAAAATGTTTTGAGTTTCTCTGCTAAAAGGCAGTAGTAGGAATTCTATTTCAAGGTTCAAACTATATGTATAGTAACTAATAAAGAAATATTCTCGTCGGAGATACCAGTGCAATGTCTGAATGACAAGTTTTAGACTGTGGGCAAAGTGCTTTAGAATCAAAGGTCAGAATCTGAGGACAAAGCGCTTTAGAATCCCGGACTCTGGACACCTGTGAGCAGAAACGAATGTAAACTGGTGCGGCAGAGGGAACTTCAGGCGACACTGAGATTCAGGCGCAGCGGAAGGAGTGCGGGGAGGTATCCTCGCTAGATTTCGCAGGATGCATGAAACTCAGCTGCCTGGACAGGGCGATTTAAAGAAAAGGAGTATTGGGGGGTGGGGGGCTGCATTTGCATAAGTGTGCTAGCACGCATTTTGGAAATTGCAAAATCTTTGATCATGCCAGAAGGTGAGTCGGAAAGTGGCAGAAAATAAGGGCTCAAAAGTATGATGGACAAAAGCCGAGGTGCAAACTTGAAAAATGAGGCTCACATTTCTGAATCTGGTTTTCTAAATTGTTGGATTAATCCTGATATTGATGTCCTGTGAGGGACTAGATGGATAATGTTCGTCTTTCCTAGCGCATCACCTTAAAAGCTTGTGAGTGTAGGAAAACGACACAGGTATTAAGTCCGGGTGCCGATCTTCCTGTGCGCTACGGCTCCCACCGCACGTGGCGCTACCCCAAGGCAACTGGGCGCGCAGTCAGGTGTGCGTCGGGTGTTTCCACATTTGCCCTTCGGAACCCTTGCCCGGGAAGGACTAAGATGAAACCATAATCTTGCTGCAGGTCTTTTCACTGTGTTCATGCTAAGAATTCCTTTGGCAGTGCAAAGCTCTGAAGGGAGTGAAATTGGAGACTTTTTCTACCTTTCATTCACTTATCAGCTACTATTTTTTATTCAGACTTTGGTCATTTAGTTTTCCTTTGAAAGTTCAGAGAAGTGAAGTTCAATGCTATCATCTCACCATTTTTATCCTGTTATGTCTCACACTCACGAAGGTATATTCCTGTTTGTCCTTATCGTTAAACCTTTGGACATGAGTCTCTGCCCTGCATCTTTACATCTTGACATTCAGGACAAAAGTTTGGAAACGCAATCTCCTTATGCTTTATAATTCTCTTATCTGAGGGCGTATTAACATTGCGGTAGCTATGAAACAGGTGATTCACGCGCCCATCTATCAATAAAAGCCTGACTATATTTAAAATTACAAGGAGACCCCCTACTTCTCTAAGTCATCCATATCATTGGAGAAAAAAAGGTAGTGAATAAAAATAAATTTCTTAGCAGTAGATCGGATTCTATTTATTTTCAATTTCATGACAGACTGCACCTTTAGAAGATAAAGGTTTCATCTAAAATTTCCAACCAACTATTTTTCATGAAATATGTTCAATAGCATTATAAGTGATCTGACACTGCTGGTACAGCAGACACAACAGATTTAGCGAAGCTGAAACGCTGAAACAGAAATGAATCATTCCGTGGTCGTTTCCTTCCCAGGGATTGTGATTGAACCGACTAACTAATTTCAATCTACGGTAATAGCTTTGTTCCTAAGAGACCACAAATCAAAGACGTACACTCACGGAGGGGCAATCTTTACTGCAATTCCAAGTCTGTGTTATTATCACCGAGCAACTGACGGCAAACCACGCCGCCAATGTTAGTGTGCGTTAGTACGAGGTGTTGGGTGTTTGTGGTTTCACTCTCTCTCTGAAACCTATCTGCTTGTGAGAAAAACTGTGGAAGAAAGGAAGTTTTACTGCCACATACTATAGCTGTGCTGGGACTCAATGCAGGAGCTCGACTGCCTTTCTTTCCCTGGATTCTGAGCCGGGGAGCACAATGGGGGTGTTGTGCTCTGGGCTAGCATGGAATGCATGATACTCAGAAAGGAGGTGTGAGCAGCTTCCAGGACCTACCCTGTTTGCTTTACAACTACCCTGAACTAAATGAAACAGCTACACCGAGAGAGTCCAAAATGAGCCACGACAAAATCTCCTGGCTATGCCGACCTACATAGGGGACGGCATTTCTTCATGTAAACGCATACCTCGATGTGTTAAGAGTTAAATCATTTACGAGCCTTAAAAATCAATGCTTCACCATGTACGGTCAGTTGGTTTTCCCTGTAATTCTGTTAATGTATGTCAAAGTGCAGGTCATAAAGGAATCCATTGTTTGTAAAGAGAGAAAGGTTATTAGCTATGAAGATCGTCCAGAATAAAAAGCCACTAGGATTTGTGAAAACAGCAAATATTTATTTGAAATCCCCAGACATACGAGTAATGTTTTTTATTATGTAATTTTGAGCACATAAATTCACTGAAATAATTCTATGCCTCTGACACCCTGGTAGAAATGTATGTGCATGTGCGATTCCTGAGTAAATCCAGATCACACAAATCAACGTACATAATTCAGGTTAAGTTTTGCTGCAAGTTCTTTTCATGATGTCCTTCCAAAATGAAGAAGGAAAAAAAAAAAAAGCTTACCTCTCACAGTCAGGTGGGACGCCGGACCCCCTGCTCCGCCTCCGCCTGGGCCTCAGCGCGCTGGCAGATGCCCTGTGAGCCCACAATCTGTTAACAGCAAGCAGGTAAACCCGAGAGCGTCTGCCTGCGTTACAGCCCAGGGGCCGTCCGAGCACACACCTGCTTTTTCAGACCTGCTGCTCACATGCGACAGCCACGCACAGGACCGGTGTTAGCGAGGGCAACACCCTCCTTTTTGATCACTAGTTTCCAGGGCAAGCAGCGAGGGAGCTGCTGAGATAATATTGCAGGGAAGGTTTGCCTTCCGGAGACAAAAACCTTTTCTGGTGCCTGATAGCAGATATGTAGCATTATCACTCTGCATTCCACTTTCTCCACTCAGCTAATTAGAACCGCAGCCGCAGTCAACGGCGTGTCCAAACAGCGGCTTGCAGGCATGCGCGGCTGTAATACTTGTACGCTATCGTGCCCATTGCTTCTTTCTTCTCTGAATAGACTTTTTTTTTGTGTTTGTTTTTTAAAAATGCTTCTTCCGGGGTAAAGCTCAGCAGAATATGCTACACTGTTTTCCATAAGTAAAATGGCTGGTCCTCTCAGCACTGCTGCAGACAGCTCATTGGGTTCCACTGGCTTTTCGTCGCCATAGCAACAACCAACAGACAGACTTAGACAGCAAGCATGGCTGGTCCTGTGCAGCGCGCGACACAGCTTGCTAATTTCTTTCCACCCAACTCATCATTTTTTGAAGAGAGGAACTTCTGGGATCTTTCTAAATATTTTGCCCATAGTACAAGTGCTCTGATTTTTCCAGCTTTCTTGAAGCACTTTTGTTATGTGAGCCAGTACGACGTGCAAAATCGATCGAGCGAGAACCTCTCTTCCAGGCTATCCAGGTTAATAAGATGCAAATCACCCGAGAGATACTAATTGGAACCATTGTCAAAACAGTTCTACCCTCCACTCTTAGAATGAGCGCAAAAGAGATCAGTAAATGGAAGCAGTTATTTTTTGTTCTTAATAATCTTGTAGCAACTTAACAGAAAAAAAAAAAAAGCCCTATGAGTTTTATGAGTTTTTATATATGGTTAAAAATAACCTAATTGGACAGGATATCTTAATAAGATTTTTTAAAATCCACTTACTTATGGATTCCATTTATCTCATTACTTTAATATGCTTCTGATATATTACATAATTTTAAATAGAATTTTTTAAAAAAAATCCTATTGTTTCTACTGCAGGAAATGTTACTTTTATTCCATTATCATTTGTCATTTAAAAATACTTTTAAAAGTTCAAAATAAATTAAAAAGCTTTTGACACTAAACATTACCTTCAGTAATAGTGGAAATGGTTTTACTTTTGCATAAGATGGGTCGCATTTCACCTTTCCTTACAATTTAACCTTCTCAGGGACTCTCCCTGATTAAAGCCGTTAATGATTTGAACCTTCTGCGCAACCCCAGGCTCTCCTCTGTGTCATCAGACATATTCTCTTTGTATACAGACTTTTCAAGGCACTGCCCTATTTATTTTTGTTTCCAGCAATCTGTTTGATATAGTTATGTTAACACTTTACACTTATAAATACAGATGTTTTGCTAGACATCATTGATTAAGTCCCCCACCCCCATAGGGCACGTGTGCTCACTGGAAAGAGACAGAGAGAGGGAAGGTGAGAAATCACCACCCGCCTCTCGGGGAAGATGACCACATTGCAATCCCTTCTCCTCCATTCTCTTTCTGGAGTTTGGGGCATGCACACACATATTTGATTTCCAAGCTGCTGGTTCTGGGATTTGACCTGTAGTAGGCTATGTGGAAGCCCATCATCTTAAGCACCATGCCACCTGCTAGTCCCTGATTCTGTATTTTTTTTTAAGTACTGCATTTCCCTATCCTAACACGCCTGTCTACAGTATTTAGCTCCCAGACTTCAGCACACATAGGAATCCTGTGGATGCAGATTTGGGGACCCCATCTGATTTCCTTCTCTAACCAGACTCAGGAGCAACATATCCAGTGGAGAGAAACAGGTGAGCCTTTTCTGCTGAGCAGTCCTTCCACTGCACTTCATCACAGGTCTGTTGGCCCTTTCTCATGGACGCTACTCTTCCGTAAGTTATTTTGAGTTTGCTATTCTTGACCATGTCCCTGCCTTCAGCTTCAGCCTCATAGTCTGCTCCTCACGCTCTGTTTCAGACTCTTACCGGCTTATCGCATGCTTCCTTATCTTGCAGGTGTTTCTGCGCCCTAAAAGGTTCTCAGTGGAACCCACCCCCAGCACCTTTCACCTCCGTTCTAATCTGCCTCCAATTGATCTTTCAACACTTGACCCAAATAGACACCATGCGAATGACACCCCCAGGAAGAGTTTGCAGTAGCCCCCTCTGTGCTGCTTTCCTGTGCCTAGGATTTATCTCTCTGATAATTGTCGTTATCCCTGTGGACTTATTAGCAGTTTTCCTTTCATGTCCAACTCCCAGACTGCTCTGTCAACTCCCTGAAAACCAACTGGCTCATGCTTTATTTTTCATGTATGCTTGGTGTATTCTAATTTCTCAAAAACATTTTCTCCCTAATCATCTGTTTTTACTATTATTAGTAGTAGTAGTTAACAAAAAATTCCAAATGTATGGGGTACAGCATTTTCAATATGTAAACAGTGAGTAATGATCATACCAGTATAATTAGCATAATTATCATCTTGAACATTTATTTATTATGTTGGCTTAGAAACATCCAAAGCCCTCTGTTATGCTATTTTGAAATATACAATAAATTATTGTTAACGGTAGTTACTTGTTCTGCTATAGAACACTTGAACATATTTATCTTATCCAGCTTTGTATTTGACGCCAATCTCTCTCCCCATACATCTCTTCTTTTTTTCTTTTTTCTTTTTTTCTTTTTTTTTTTTCTTTTTTTTAGAGGTTTTTGCTCTAGGGCGTGTGTGCTTGCCAGACAGAGAGAGACAGCGAGACAGAAAGTGAGAAATCACTCACCAGGGGGAATGGCCACGCCGCAATCCCTTCTCCTCCGTTCTCCTCTTGGGATCTTGGGCACGCACGCACAACTGCCCAGTGTGAGTTTTAAGCCACTGGGTCTGGGACACGAACCACGGTCGATTACATGGGAGTCCAGCGACATAGCTATTATGCTAACTGCTGGTCCCTCTCTCCATAAATCTCTTGACCTCATTTTTTTTAAAGCCAGATTTTTGCTAAAGGGCACCTGCTAAAGAGACAGAGAGAGACAGAGAGACAGAAAGTGAGAAATCACTCACCAGGGGGAATGGCCACGCCGCAATCCCTTCTCCTCCGTTCTCCTCTTGGGATCTTGGGCACGCACGCACAACTGCCCAGTGTGAGTTTTAAGCCACTGGGTCTGGGACACGAACCACGGTCGATTACATGGGAGTCCAGCGACATAGCTATTATGCTAACTGCTGGTCCCTCTCTCCATAAATCTCTTGACCTCATTTTTTTTAAAGCCAGATTTTTGCTAAAGGGCACCTGCTAAAGAGACAGAGAGAGACAGAGAGACAGAAAGTGAGAAATCACTCACCAGGGGGAATGGCCACGCCGCAATCCCTTCTCCTCCGTTCTCCTCTTGGGATCTTGGGCACGCACGCACAACTGCCCAGTGTGAGTTTTAAGCCACTGGGTCTGGGACACGAACCACGGTCGATTACATGGGAGTCCAGCGACATAGCTATTATGCTAACTGCTGGTCCCTCTCTCCATAAATCTCTTGACCTCATTTTTTTTAAAGACAGATTTTTGCTAAAGGGCACCTGCTAAAGAGACAGAGAGAGACAGAGATACAGAAAGCTAAAGAGACAGAGAGACAGAGATACAGAAAGCTAGAAATCACCCCCTGGGGGGATGGCCACGCCGCAGTCACTTCTCCTCCATTCTCCTCTCGGGATCTTGGGCACACACACCCAGCATAAGTTTTAAGTCTCCAGGTCTAGGACTCAAGCCACAGTCAACTATGTGGGAGTTCAGAGATGTAACCATCATGACATCTGTCAGTTCCTCTTGCCCTCATTAACACAGACACAGAAAGAGAAAAATTCCATGGTCTCACTCATATATGACAACTAAGGGGAAGTCAACCCCATAGGAATAGACAGCATAATACATTCTGAAGAGGAATTACAACACTGTAGGAATAAGCTTGTATTTTAGTTCATTTATCTTTTCAACATCACACATTTTTGAATTATCACTTCAGAAGAACATAAATGATTTTGATTAAAGGTCAGCAAATTACAAAAAGGTATCAAGACACATGGCAAGTTCATTTTGTGTTTTGGGGTGGTTTTTCACTGTTATGTGTGAAAATGTTTTTCTTCTACCCTCACACTTGATTGATAATTTGGCTGGGTATAAGAATCTTTGAAAGCATTTTTTTATTGGAATGTTGAAGGCCTTCCTTTACCTTGTATTTCCTTCCTTCACTATACGCCAGCTATCTCTCCCCTCTCCAAAGAAGAGAACGAGAAAACTGCCTAGAACTGGCAACTGAAAAGCTTCAGGACCTAGACGAATCCTTCCCCTCTCTTTGGTCCATGGCGTCCATGGTTGCATCTCTGCTGATTTTCATGTTCACTGTGTGCAGTTCTTTTCATGCTCCTCACCTACACTCAGCCTCTCCTCTCATACCTCTGTCTGCCCTCTGACTCTGCTTTCCCTGAAAACTATGAGTTTTATTCTCTCTTTGAACTTGTTCATAAAAAAAAAAATATTCTCAAGAGACAGCTATACATTTTCCAGCTCAACTTTCTGAGACAAATGAGATACCTTATAAGTTGCCAGCAGCTTTATACCTGGAATCTGACATAGGTTTAAAGCTAAAACTCAAAATTACCAGGGGACTGTTGGCAATGTTTAGTCTTCAAGTTTTTTATTTTTTTAAGTTTCTTTATTTCAGGGGCTTACTAGCCATCCCTCCTAGGAGATGATTTCTCACTTTTCTTCTCTCTCTGTCTTTCTCCAGTGAGCACATGCACCCTATAGCAAAAATAAGATAAAATGAAATTAATGTTTTTTTTTTTGGAGAGATTTTCGCTATAGGGCACATGCGCTCGCCAGACAGACAGAGAGAGACATAGAGACAGAAAGCGAGAAATCACCCCCCAGAGGGAATGGTCACCCCACAATCCCTTCTCCTCCATTCTCCTCTCGGGATCTTGGGCACGTACACACACACGCCCGGCGTGAGTTTGAAGCCACCGGGTCCGGGATGCGAACCGCGGTCGACTACGTGGGAGTCCGGCGACATAGCCATTACGCTAACTGCTGGTTCCCAAGAGATGCATTATTGATGTACCACTGTCTGGATCTAGTTTTCAAATTTTTGCCAATGTAATAGATTCAAAGTCAGTGCACTATAATAATAATAAAACCCAGAATTGTTTTAATTTACATTTTCTCCAATTACTGACCACATAGATCATCTCTTTGAGTTCAATGATCTTTTGGATGCCTTCTGTAAATTTCCTGTTAGTAGCTTTTTCCATTTCTTCTAATACAAAATGGTCATTAAAAGTATTTTCAAAATTGTTATATATTTAAACATTAAAATTAGTTACATAATTAAAAGTTTAAA